TCCATGTCAGAGAGTTGTGGCCCCCTGGACCCTCTGAGGGGGCTGAGCCTGGATTCAGACGCTGGCCTGAGCAATGAGGACCTGGGGAGCGAGCGGAGTGAGTCGCCCACCGTGTGCCCTAGGTTCTCTCCCGGTGTCTCCCGCTCAGAGTCCCTGATAGGCTTGGATCTGGACCTGGGGCCGTCCATCCTGGAGGACGTGCTGAGGATCATGGACCGCTACAAGAGCATTGATGACCGCTGTGAGTTGTGAGCAGATGGAGGAAAGGGGTTTAGACACCGCTGTGCAGAGAGGTGTCAGGGGCTGGTCCATTCTCCATATAGCCTAATGATGACCGGGCTGGTCCAACGAACAGACAGAGACAGAGGATAGTGCCAGGACTGACAGGCACAAAGGCTGGGACTTAAGACGCTGGGACTGTGGGACTATATAATATCCAGACTGGAAACACAGCAGCTTCAGAACCAACCATTTGTCTTTTGATATTCAGATTCACAATAGGGGAGAGACAATCATTTCTCCCACCCAAATGCTGTCTACATTTTTGCAGACTCATTTGACATGTTTTTCAGCATTTCACTATTGTTAGGGTACATAATTCATACTTCACTAACTCCCTATGTAAGCTCTGTAGTTTTCTGATAGGATGAAATGTAGTTGCCTGAAAATACAATTAATGTACTTAAAAAGCCTGCAAGGTTTGTGCTTTTGTGTTGTTTTCTGAAATATCATATTGTTGATATTCTTCCAGGCACACATTTTACTGTTCTATGTCAGGACAATACAATCAAGACCGGAGTATGCTATGTATTAGGTTTCCATCTAGTGGCAGATGTAAGAAGGACACCCAAAATGCAACAGTTCTAGCAGTGCGAAAACTGAGGTCCAAATGTTTTTGGGGGGCTAAAGTACATTAGAATCAAAGTATCAGAAATGTGCAGCTTCTTCAAAATCCTTTAAATGTAGTGGGATGACCAAGGAAGGTTTCTCTTTTGTAACAGCTGTGCAATTTGTGACTTGCATCAAATCCTTCAGCATTTTATTATATTTCATTGTTATATTACAGAGTATTTCCAATTGTTATGTACTGTATATTAATGTAATGTATTAAATAAATATGGAAATTAGATGCTGAACCATTCCTTTCTTTTTTATATATACACTACCAGTCAAAAGTTTGGACACACCTACTCATTCAAGGGTTTTTCTTTATTTGTAAAATGTTTTACATTGTATAATAATAGAGAAGATTTCAAAACTATGTTGTAACCAAAAAAGTGTTAAACAAATCAAAATATATGTTATATTTGTGATTCTTCAAATAGCCACCTTTTGCCTTGATGACAGCTTTGCACACTCTTGGGAAGTGTTATGGTGTGGGGGTGCTTTGCTGGTGACACTGTCTGTGATTTATTTAGAATTCAAGGCACACTTAACCAGCATGGCTACCACAGCATTCTGCAGTGATACGCAATCCCATCTGGTTTGGGCTTAGTGGGACTATCATTTGTTTTTCAAGATGGTTTGGGATGAGTTGGACCACAGAGTGAAGGAAAAGCAGCCAACAAGTGTTAAACATATGTGGGAACTCCTTCAAGACTGTTGGAAAAAGCATTCCAGGTGACTACCTCATGAAGCTGGTTGAGAGAATGCGAAGAGTGTGCAAAGCTGTCATCAAGGCAAAGGGTGGCTATTTGAAGAATCTCAAATATAACATATTTTGATTTGTTTAACACTTTTTCTGGTTACTACATGATTCCATATGTGTTATTTCATAGTTTTGATGTCTGCACTATTATTCTATAATGTAGAAAATAGTCAAAATAAATAAAAACCCTTGAATTTTGGACAGGTGTGTCCAAACTTTTGACTGGTACTGTATGTGTCTTTTTACATTCTTTAGAGGCTGTGCTTCTCAATCCTGGTTCCGGGGACCCAAAGGCGGTGCACATTCCCACCCCCACACTCATACACCCAACCCCAAATGAGAGGCTTGATGGGTCCCCAGGGCCAGGACCAAGAAACAGAGCTCAAAGATATATCATTCCTTTCTTAAACTGAAAAGAAAGCACCATATTGATTTTGTAAATGGAAATTCCCTAAACACTTAATGAAGCGCTACTCTGCTCCCATCATTTGCTAAGTAATAACAGAACAGGGAAGATTATAATTATGTAATGAAAAAATTGGATTTTGTCTTTGAATTGTGTGGGCCTTTATTGTGTTCTGTGGATAAAAATCATTTCACAAAAAATAGTGGAATCTGAGGAAACTGCAACTTCTCTTTTCTAATATCAGGTCATCCCACCACACCACCTATTAGGGGAGAGTGGGGTAAGTTGAGCCAAATGGGTACATTGAGCCACACTTGTTTCTAGGAAACATTTACATTTTAGTCATTTAGTAGACGCTCTTATACAGAGCGACTTACAGGAGCAATTAGGGTTAAGTGCCTTGCTTAAGGGCACATTGACAGATTTTCACCTAGTCGGCTCTGGGATTAGAACCAGCGACCTTTCGGTTACTGGCACAATGCTCTTACCCTTTAAGCTACCTGCCGCCCCATACACGGCAACCATACACAAAATACATAATTTGACCAAATATTTAGGAAACGGTAATCATTTAATGTTGTCTGTGAAGGAAGAACCCACATGGAAAAAATGGTACACAAGTTAGGTAAAAAAAAACGTATTTTCACCAAGTCAAATTAATTTATTGTGTTAGAGGTTTCATGACGCTTGTATCTAAACCAAAGTAGATAATATTACGATTGTTTAAACCTAGCATGAAAGTGCATCCTTGTAGCTGTGTGGGCTAATATAGTCTAAATCAGGGTTGCCCAACCCTGTTCCTGGAGAGCTACCCTCCTGTAGGTTTTCGCTCCAACCCCAGGTGTTACTAACCTGATTCATCTTATCAACCTGCTAATTATTAGAATCAGGTGTGCTAGATTAGGGTTGGAGCAAAAACCTACAGGACGGTAGTTCTCCAGGAACCGGGTTGGGCAGTCCTGGTCTAAATGTTTGCCTTGGGGTAAATTGAGCCAATGGCCATTGGGTAAGTTTAGCCAATGGCAAGTTGAGCAAATTGAAATGTTTTCTTTCCAGGCATTATTGCTGGGATATGTTAAAAGTGTAAAAAATAAATAAAAAAGTACAACGTTTGTTTGTTAGTTGTGTTAAAAGATACTTAAAATGATGAAAAGACAAAAAAGCGATTGTGTTGAATTGTATTTGGAAAATAAATATAGACATAGTTTTAATAAGGTAGTGGTATTTCATTCAGTACAGAAGATTTGTTGCCATGAGCAGCACCGCAGATATTGAGATGAGCGAGATGCAAGACTTAAGCACACACAGGATCTGCAAATGTGCACAGGTTCACTTCACGCTGTTCACAGCATGGTAGTCAGGGCACCAAAACAGCGGAGTAGTTGAGCTTGGCGCTTCAACGCTCTTAGTTGTTGCGGAAATTTACTCATTATGCTGTTTCCTTTCTGCATCTATGTCATATCGCTGAGTCTAACTTTAACTTACCCTGTTTCGAGGCTAAACTTACCCCATTCCCCGGGTAAGTTGTGCCAAGAGACCACTCTTTTTGCACAAGCTACAGTATGTTTTCAAACTGTAATGTTTACATTAATTCTGATTATTTACAGGGATACACAAAGTCCTGAAATATACAGTACCAGTCAAAAGTTTGGACACACCTACTCATTCAAGGGTTTTTCTTTATTTGTACTATTTTCTACATTGTAGAATAATAGTGAAGACATCAATACTATGAAATAACACATATGGAATCATGTAGTAACCAAAAAGGTGTTAAACAAATCAAAATATGTTTTATATTTGAGATTCTTCAAATAGCCACCCTTTGCCTTGATGACAGCTTTACACACTCTAGGCATTCTCTCAACCAGCTTCATGAGGTAGTCACCTGGAATGTATTTCAATTAACAGGTGTGCCTTCTTAAAAGTTAATTTGTGGAATTTCTTTCCTTCTTAATGCATTTGAGCCAATCAGTTGTGTTGTGACAAGGTAGGGGGGGTATACAGAAGATAGCCCCTTCTGTATACCCCCCTACCTTGTCACAACACAACTGATTGGCTGAAATGCACAAATTAACTTTTAACAAGGCACACCTGTTAATTGAAATGCATTCTAGGTGACTACCTCATGAAGCTGGTTGAGAGAATGCCAAGAGTGTGCAAAGGATGGCTAATTTGAAGAATCTCATATATAAAATATATTTTGATTTGTTTAACACTTTTTTGGTTACTACATGATTCCATATGTGTTATTTCATAGTGTTGATGTCTTCACTATTATTCTACAATGTAGAAAATAGTAAAAATAAAGAAAAACCCTGGAATGAGTAGGTGTGTCCAAACTTTTGACTGGTACTGTATGTAGATATATTTGTTAGAAAGAATACCATATTTCCCTTGATGGAGTGATGCTGAATGTAAAAAAGGCTCAACTTACCCCACTCTCCCCTATCATATAACCTGTCAAATGAACAACATAGGCTACCAGTACAGTACTTTTACTACTATTATGACAATACCTTCTGCTCATGTTGAATATAAATAGAATGTTCTGTTCAGGTAAATCTTTGTTCTTTCTTTAGTCTGCAGTATTTCAGTTTTGTTGCTTCGTTTTATGAAGTTGAATAAAAGACTGCACAATAGTTCTCTGAACCTCCCTGGCTGGCTGTATCGCATTAGTGGATACTCACACAGCTCTCATGCAGGTCTGCCGGTTTTGACTAGCAGAAGTGTCGTAGCAGGTGAGGAGAATTAACTTGGCAGGTTAGGACAATTATGTTAAGGTTAGGAAAAGGGTTAGGGTTAGCTAAAATGCTAAAATTGTCCCCGACGCAACTCGAAAATATCTAGCTGCAACGCATACCAAACCCAATCAGAGAAGACCAAATGACATAGCTCACAATTCTGCAGCCAATAGGAGAAGCAAAAGGTGGGCCTTTGTATAGACGTGTAGATGGAGAATGTCTGAAGAAATCTAACGTGTGGAACATAGCTAGTTAATTGAAGGGTTTTGTTTTGCCAATAAGTTAGCTAGGCATCTATTTATTGTGAATAAAGAAAAAAAGTGACTGACCCAAAGAAGCAGCTAGCTCACGGCTGCAAGAAATCCTACCGAAATGAAGTAAGTGCTCGTGGCAGAGAGATACTCAGACAGGGCAAAGTTAGCTAGCTAGCTAACGTACCTAGTAAACGTTAGCTTGCAGCAAGTCAGCTCTTTGCTAGCAGTTGGCTATCGTAAACTAGCTAGCTGGTTAAACTGTAAACATTACACCGTGCAATGTCTGTTGGAACGAACTTAGCCACAGATGAATAGGGGAGTTAGCTAGCTAGCTAGTTATAGGTTTCTTTGATTTAGCTAATGTACATGCTGTCACAGTTCTGTTTTGCTCGCTAACGTTAACTGGCTAAAATGCCCTTATTATGACTATTGCACTTCCATGCATGTTTTTGGAATACCTTTATTCTAGGCTCAACATCGAAGGGTTGTTAGTCTATTTTCCATATGACTACATTTACCCAGAGCAATATTCCTACATGCTGGAACTCAAGAGGACCCTGGATGCCAAGGTAAATAGAGAGACCCAGCAACATGCCACTTGTTGTAGACGATCATAATGATATGGCCCTATACATGATGGTAACACATTGTTTATCCAAAGGGACATGGAGTTCTGGAGATGCCATCGGGAACCGGGAAAACCATATCTCTTCTGTCATTGATTGTTGCATATCAGCGGGTGAGTGAAGATATGCCCGTTTCTCCATCAGGACTCTGTTGGAGGAATCTTTATCACCATCTGGACCTCTTTGACAGTTCACTTATAGAGTGATATCACCTCTCTTTGACAGGAGTATCCCCTTGAAGTCACAAAGCTGATCTACTGTTCCCGAACTGTTCCTGAGATAGAGAAGGTGATCTCTCTCTTCTCCTACACCTTTCTGTGTGCTCCCCTGTCCTTGAAGAACATTTTGTTTTTCATCACCTTCTCTGATGCCAAGTTGCTCCCTTCTCCATCAGGTGGTGGAGGAGTTGAGGAAGCTTATGGAGTTCTATTCTAAGGAGACGGGAGAGAAGAATAACTTCCTGGCTCTGGCGCTCTCCTCTCGGAAAAACCTGTGTGTTCACCCCGAGGTAGGATTAAGCACACACAGGATCTGCAAATAAATCGAGGTCTATGGGCATAACAATCATAAGCCTGGAAATATATATATATATATACCGACCAGTGTCTGTTTAGCATTGCTTTTTCCACATTGGAGGGTATATCCGTGGACGGTTCTGTTTGGGAAGGCGTCGTTTGCATCGCCGAGTGGTGCCCAGGAAATCATTTAAATCCAATTGTTAGATTATACTACCAACCCCCCCCCCCCCCCCCCCCCCCCCCCCCCCCCCCCCCCCCCCCCACCAAATCAAAATCAAACATGGATTCCATTATGGTTGTGAATGTGTAAACGTTTAAACAAGGTTGGAATCCTTAACGTTAAGAAAATTCCCTAACCGAAAAACAAAGTTTTCCCCCCCCCACATAATTAAAATCACAGTGCAGTTATCACAAAACATTATTTTCTGTGTTATAGCCTAACTAGATTATATGGCTATAAAGGCCTGGGGAAAATTGTGTAATTTACAGTTGAAGTCGGAAGTTTACATACACTTAGGTTGGAGTCATTAAAACTAGTTTTTCAACCACTCCACACATTTCTTGTTAACAAACTATAGTTTTGGCAAGTCGGTTAGGACATCTACTTTGTGCATGACACAAGTAATTTTTCCAACAATTGTTAAGACAGATTATTTCACTTATAATTCACTGTATCACAATTCCAATGGGTCAGAAGTTTACATACACTAAGTTGACTGTGCCTTTAAAAAGCTTGGAAAATTCCAGAAAATGATGTCATGGCTTTAGAAGCTTCTGATAGGCTAATTGACATCATTTGAGTCAATTGTAGGTGTACCTGTGGATGTATTTCAAGGCCTACCTTCAAACTCAGTGCCTCTTTGCTTGACATCATGGGAAAATCTAAAGAAATCAGCCAATACCTCAGAAAAAAAATTGTAGACCTCCACAAGTCTGGTTCATCCTTGGGAGCAATTTCCAAACGCCTGAAGGTACCATGTTCATCTGTACAAACAATAGTACGCAACACCTTGGGACCACGCAGCCGTCATACCGCTCAGGAAGGAGACGCGTTCTGTCTCCTAGAGATGAATGTACTTTGGTGCGAAAAGTGCAAATCAATCCCAGACCAACAGCAAAGGACCTTGTGAAGATGCTGGAGGAAACAGGTACTAAAGTATCTACATCAATAGTAAAACGAGTCCTATATCAACATAACCTGAAAGGCCGCTCAGCAAGGAAGAAGCCACTGCTCCAAAACTGCCATAAAAAAGCCAGACTACGGTTTGCAACTGCACATGGGGACAAAGATCGTACTTTTTGGAGAAATGTCCTCTGGTCTGATGAAACAAAAATAGAACTGTTTGGCCATAATGACCTTCGTTATGTTTGGAGGAAAAAGGGGAAGGCTTGCAAGCCGAAGAACACCATCCCAACCGTGAAGCACGGGGAGCCCCCCGTGTAGCTCAGTTGGTAGAGCATGGCGTTTGCAACTCCAGGGTTGTGGGTTCGATTCCCACGAGGGGCCAGTATGAAAATGTATGCACTCACTAACTGTAAGTCGCTCTGGATAAGAGCATCTGCTAAATGACTAAAATGTAAATGTAAAATGGGTGGCAGCATCATGCTGTGGGGGTGCTTTTCTGCAGGAGGGACTGGGGCACTTCACAGAATAGATGGCATCATGAGGAAGGAAAATGATGTGGATATATTGAAGCAACATCTCAAGACATCAGTCAGGAAGTTAAAGCTTGGTCGCAAATGGGTCTTCCAAATGGACAATGACCCCAAGCATACTTTCAAAGTTGTGGCAAAATGGCTTAAGGACAACAAAGTCAAGGTATTGGAGTGGCCATCACAAAGCCCTGAACTCAATCCTATAGAAAATGTGTGGGCAGAACTGAAAAAGCGTGTGCGAGCAAGGAGGCCTACAAACCTGACTCAGTTACACCAGCTCTGTCAGGAGGAATGGGCCAAAATTCACCCAACTTATTGTGGGAAGCTTGTGGAAGGCTACCCAAAACGTTTGACCCAAGTTAAACAATTTAAAGGCAATGCTACCAAATACTAATTGAGTGTATGTAAACTTCTGACCCACTGGGAATGTGATGAAAGAAATAAAAGCTGAAATAAATCATTCTCTCTACTATTATTCTGACATTTCACATTCTTAAAATAAAGTGGGGATCCTAACTGACCTAAGACAGGGAATTTTTACTATGATTAAATGTCAGGAATTGTGAAAAACTGAGTTTAAATGTATTTGGCTAAGGTGTATGTAAACGTCCGACTTCAACTGTAAATAAAACCAGAGAGGAATAGACAAACTTTAGGCTACTTTGGTGAATTTGCGAGGCAAGCAAGACCAAGACGTATGCTCACGGCCCCTCATGTCTCTCCCAAGCACTGGCCTGCCTGCTCTTTCTCTTCGCTAATGACCTGAGTGTGTGTGTGTGTGTGTGTTCAGTCTTCGGTCTGTTGCGTGTAGAATAGCCTAGCTTAGGCTGTTCATGGTCCGATGTCGCCGGGATACAGGGGTATCTTCAGGCCAGTCTTGCGAGCACGGGGTAGGCTATGCTTCGATTATGAGTGGGTGGATGTGTTTTTGTCTCATCATATGAAATTACAGTAGGCTACCTGTATCGATTACCCTTTTCAGATAAAATGGTATGTGGCCTCTTAAAAGCTTCTCGGCTACGGCATGTTTGTTTGTCTGTTAGGGTAGGCTACACTACGGCTTTTTAAACGCCGACGCGAAACGTTCTCTGGAGACATGAATGGCATTTGACTTATCTATAAAGTAATGCCGCTTCTGAAGCGAGACTAACTTCCATCAGTAGGCGACTGGAACAGTCAATCCTAGCCTGCCTGCGCACAGACCACTCTTTCCTAAAAAAGTACTTTAAAGTTCGTTAAATATTGCGACTTACCAAGACATTTAGTAGAAAGAAAACGCATCTATCAATCCTACCATAAAAAAACAGCAACGTTTATTGTTGTCAGGGAAACAATAGAACATTATATGCAGGAGCAGAATTCTACTGTCTGAAAAGCTACAGACTCATCTGATGCAGCACTTTTTTTAATTGTCTGAAAAGTTATCAATTATTGACATGTTACTGTACTGCGTTCTATGTCTGTAAAGGGTCGCAGTAGACAACTTCATTGCCCGACCCTAGCAGTCAGTACACTGCCAACAGTATATCTTCACGATGACACCCACTAACCGTGGCCCTGTAACACTCTTCAAACACATTTGTGTGTGTTCAAAATAGTTAAATGATGTGTGTGTCTGTTCATGTCATGGTCCAAATTGCATGATTCTTTGTGTTCAGGTGAGCTCCTTACGCTTTGGGAAGGAGGTAGATGGGAAATGTCACAGCCTGACAGCGTCATACATCCGTGCCCAACGGCACAGCAACCCAAGCCTGCCTTCCTGCCGTTTCTATGAGGTGAGGGGCTTGGGATTGTGACAAAGAGAGTGATCTGGACACTTCCATGCCTCTGTCTGTCTGTCATCCTTTCTGTCTGACTGACTCTGTCTGCTCTAGGAGTTTGATGCTATGGGAAAGCAGGTGCCCCTCCCCGCTGGAGTCTACAACCTGGACGATATGAAGGACTTTGGGCGGAGGAAAGGCTGGTGCCCCTACTACCTAGCACGATATTCGGTAAGAATAGCCCATAGTCATAGCAATCTGATGTTTTTCTTTTACCAGTGTTTTTGTAGCATGTTGTATTTGACAGCATTACTAAAGACGGTACAGTATGAAGATAGGCAGAAACTGATTCTCCAATAGAAAGCACAGATCACACTTGTAGGCAATATACTTTCGATATAAAGTTGTTTTTGACATGAATGAAAACGTGTCAGTTTGTCACTAGGTTGGAGTAATAACATATTCAACTACTTATGACATTGGCTCAGATCTAGGTTGTGCCTTTTTAGATTTTGAGAAAATTGACAAGTAAGAATTTTTCACTTCTCTCATTGACTTCTCAAACCCTGGCCTGGTCTGTTTCGCAAGCGTTCCCGGAAGTCTTGCGATGTTGTGCCTCTGGGTTTAGAAACTCTGTGGCATTACTGTATGAAGGATGATGTTTTTCCTCTTGCTTCATTCCTTAACACATACAGATCCTCCATGCCAACATCATAGTTTACAGTTACCACTACCTTCTGGACCCAAAGATTGCAGACCTTGTCTCAAAGGAGCTCTCCAAGAAATCGGTGGTTGTTTTTGACGAAGCACATAACATCGGTAAGGACATCCACGTGTTTCTTTCCCATTTGTTTAAGAAACCCACTGTTTCAAGCCTCCACAAGCTGATATTCCATCCTCTTCCTCAGACAACGTGTGCATCGACTCCATGAGCGTCAACATCACCAGGAGGACTCTGGACCGTAGTCAGGCCAACGTGGAGACCCTACAAAACACCATTCTCAAGTAAGGTCATACTGCTCAGGGTCATACACTCAGGGTTCTAGTGGAGAGCAGCACTAGAAGCACTAACATTTTATGTGTACAAAGGAGAACGTACAAAGAGTTAATAATGTGACAGGCTGAACCAGTTTGTTGTTCTTGCCCCGAAAGTGTAGAGGGTTGTGATGTCATCTCAACCTCTTGTCCTCTGCTGTAGGATAAAGGAGACAGACGCAGCCAAACTGAAAGAGGAATACAGACGATTGGTGGAGGGCCTGAAAGAGGCCAACGTTGCCAGGGAGACCGATGTCTACATGTCCAATCCCGTGTTGCCAGATGAGATCCTCCAAGGTTAGCCCACTGGCGTCCAGTCGAAAACAACCAGTTATTGAATATTTGTTCATATTTGTATCGATTTATGCTCAAACAGGGTTTCATGTATCTATCTTTCCCTTTCTATACCCTGTCCTCCCTCCCCGCACTGTCTTTCTTTACGTATTTCCCCCTCTGCCTCCAGAGGCTGTCCCTGGCAGTATCCGCACGGCAGAGCACTTTGTGGGCTTCATGAAGCGTTTCCTGGAGTACCTGAAGGCCAGGCTGAGGATTCACCATGTAGTGCAGGAGAGCGCTCCCCAGTTCCTTAAAGACATCTTCGAGAAGGTCTGCATTGACCGCAAGCCCCTCAGGTGACTTCTACAGTACTTTTGTGTTAGTTTTGTAAAGCCTGGTGCCCTTGGTTGGTGGAGATTTCCACTTTAGGACCAATGGAATGGCCTTAACATGTGCAAACTCCGTCCACCAGGGCACCGGGCAATGCAAAAATAATGCTCCTAGACCTAAGACTCCATCGTGGATTATGTCTCTTTGGAACATTGAAAGAAGTTTCTAGTAACTCCTCCACACTCCTTAATTCTTATATTGTATATCTATTTGTTTCTCTAGATTCTGTGCAGAGAGGTTGCGTTCGTTGCTGAGGACTTTGGAGATTGCGGACATCGCAGACTTCTCAGCCATCACCCTCATCTCCAACTTTGCCACTCTGGTCAGCACTTACAGCAAAGGTACTGAACCTACTAGGCTGACTGTGTGTATGTTACCTCTACATGGCTACAGCTATGTGGTTATTTACTTTCCTTGTCCTTTCCATCTTCCACCCTCAGGCTTCACCATCATCATTGAACCCTTTGAAGACAGAACCCCCACCATTGCTAACCCCGTGCTGCACTTCAGGTGGGGTTCATTTGTGTTGAGCGTATTTTGTTTTGCCAGCAGAATGGTGTGATATTGATGGATGAGCTGTTGTACCAATGCAAGAGCCAAGGGTGAAATAATCCATCAGGATGGAAGTGAATGTATACTCTGCTTAGTTACTCATTGTGCCATTGGATAGTTTAAATGCACCATAAGAATAGATTTGTCATTCATCTTATCTGGGATCAAGTTGAGAGAAACAGGAACAATTTATATGATATGTGGCATAAATCCAGGTCCAGGCATTCATGTAGTTTCAGATATTAAACAGCCTTTATTTTATAGGCTAGTGCGTTAAAAAAAAAACACACGCATGTCAGTTTACGCTTTTTATCTGGGATCTACTTCTAACCCTGGCTCTCCTTTCAGCTGTATGGACCCTTCCATTGCCATCAAGCCTGTGTTCGAGCGCTTCCAGTCTGTCATCATTACGTCAGGGGTAATCTTTCTCCCTCCTCCTGTTCCTAGATTAACTGTGACCTAGCCACTAATCAGTGATTACACGCCACCTGCTGATGGTCTCATCTGTCCAAGATGGGGCCACTCACATTCCAATGCAGTCGGGCTAGAGTGCTATTTGTACATTTTGTGCTGTATCTTGTTATCTTGTCCATGTAGATGTGTTAATGAGGGACAAATGGCTTTTCTTTGTGTTTCTCAGTACTTTATCAACAGGGGATTCCCCCTTAAATCTGCAGCTTTAATGATTTTTTTACCACCATTCAGAATGACAGTTTATCAATGAATTTGCATGCGATGCAAACAGAAATGTAAAGAAGTTTGATAGTTTATATTATTTTGAGTATATTATTTTGCCTGTAGGTGTCTTCAGTGGTGAGTTCAGTACTATGACCATCACTTCACTCCATTGATCCTCACACTAGATCCCTTGGCTGTGTGTTGGCTTGGCTGTCCTACCCTGTGGCTGTCTACTTCTGATCATGTTTCTATCCACAGACCCTTTCACCGTTGGACATTTACCCCCGAATCCTGGACTTCCGGCCTGTTACCGTTGCATCCTTCACCATGACGCTGGCACGCACCTGCCTCTGCCCTCTTGTGAGTAATCTCAGAAACAGTCTACATGATATGACCTGAGTGGTTAATTCAAGCTATGCTGAGCTTCAGAAAGAATGCAAGGGGGTGACACGGAGCTCTTCCTCTTTCAGGTGGTGGGGAGGGGGAACGACCAGGTGGCCATGACCTCCAAGTTTGAGACGCGTGAAGATTTTGGTTAGTGGTTGTTACATTGTATCGAAATATTGTAATCTTTCCTTGCTTCTTTGTAAGCTTAGACTCTCCTTTCCTTAGTTGGGATAAACAAAACATTGAAATAAACCTGGTCTGGGTTCTATTTTTCAGCTGTCATCCGTAACTATGGCAACCTGCTGCTGGAGATGTCTGCGATCGTGCCCGACGGCATCGTGGCCTTCTTCACCAGCTACATCTACATGGAGAACATTGTGGCCTCGTGGTATGAGCAGGTGTGTACACACGGTCCACAAATGGAATTGAGAATAAATGTAAAAGTGAATAAGGTGTGGTTCTGTCTGTACTATTATAGCAATAGACATATCTACACTGAACAAAAATATAAACATAACATGTAAAGTGTTGATCCCATGTTTCATTAGCTGAAATAAGAGGCCATAAATGTTCCATATGCACAAAAAGCTTATTTCTCTCAAATTTTGTGCACAAATTTGTTTACATCCCTGTTAGTGAGCATTTCTCCTGACAAGTGTGGCATGTCAAGAAGCTGATTAAACAGCATGATCATTACACAGGTTCACCTTGTGCTGGGGACAATAAAAGGCCACTCTAAAATGTGCAGTTTTGTCACACAAAACAATGCCACAGATGTCTCAAGTTTTGAGGGAGCGTGCAATTGGCATGCTGACTGCAGGAATGTCCACCAGAGCTGTTGCCAGAGAATTTAATGTTAGTTACTCTACCATAAGCCTCCTCCAACATCGTTTTAGAGAATTTGGCAGTACATCCAACTGGCCCCTAACTGCAGACCATGTGTATGGCGTCATGTGGGCGAGCTGTTTGCTGATGTCAGCGTTGTGAACAGAGTGCCCCATGGTGGCGGTGGGTTTATGGTATGGGCAGGCATAAGCTACGGACAACGAAGAGAAATTGCATTTTATCGATGGCAGTTTGAATGCACAGAGATACCGTGACGAGATCCTGAGGCCCATTGTTGTGCCATTCATCCTCCGCCATCACCTCATGTTTGAGCATGATAATGGACCGCCCCATGTCGCAAGGATCTGTACACAATTCCTGGAAGCTGAAAATGTCCCAGTTCTTCCTGCATACTCACCAGACAGCATGTTCCAGTTCCCGCCAATATCCAGCAACTTCGCACAGCCATTGAAGAGGAGTGGGACAACATTCCACAGGCCACAATCAACAGCCTGATCAACTCTATGCGAAGGAGATTTGCCTCATGCAGCGTGACACATGGTGGTCACACTAGCTACTGACTGGTTTTCTGATCCACGCCCCTACCTTTTGGGGGGGGGGGGGGGGGGGAATCTGTGACCAACAGATGCAAATCTTTATTCCCAGTCATGTGAAATCCATAGATTGGGCCCTAAATTTAATTAATTTAATTGTTGCATTTATATTTTTGTTCAGTATATGTTAGCATTTTATTGGCAGCAGATAGAATTGTGCATTGTGCCCAAATGTTTATCGGTGATGGATTCCTGAGTAATCTGTAAGTTGAGTAAGCATTGTCCTCTTGTCCTGTCCCTGTGTGTCTGTCTGTAGGGCATCTTAGAGAACGTCCAGAGGAACAAGCTGATCTTCATCGAGACCCCAGACGCAGCAGAGACCAGCATGGCTTTGGAGAAATACCAGGAGGTCAGGAGACCCTTTCTTTGATTGTCTTAGGTTGTCTTCTGTCGTTGTGTCTGTGACCTCTGACCTCTTATCCGTTGTGCCCCAGGCCTGTGAGAATGGCAGAGGAGCCATCCTGCTGTCTGTGGCCAGGGGAAAGGTGTCAGAGGGAATTGACTTTGGTGAGTGTTTTTGTATTTGTTTGGTATTTTATTAGGATCCCCATTAGCTGTTGCAAAAGCAGCAGCTACTCTTCCTGGGGTCCAGACAAAACATGAATCATGACATAATACAGAACATTAATAGACAAGGACAGCTCAAGGACAGAACTACATACATAAAAAAATATATAAAAAAGGCACAGGTAGCCTACATATCAATACATACACACAAAATATCTAGGTCAAGTAGGGGAGAGGCGTTGTGTTTCTGAAACCACGTTTGCTGTTTATTTGAGCAATATGAGATGGAAAGGAGTTCCATGCAATAATTGCTCTATATAATACTGAATGCTTTCTTAAATTTGTTCTGGATTTGGGGACTGTGAAAAGACCCCTGGTGGCATGTCTGGTGGGGGAAGTGTGTGTGTCAGAGCTGTGTGTAAGTTGACTATGCAAACGATTTGGGATTTTCAACACATTGTTTCTTATAAAAAGAAGTGATGCAGTCAGTCTCTCCTCAACTCTTAGACAAGAGAGACTGGCATGCATAGTATTTATATCAGCCCGCTGAATACAATGAAGAGCAAGACGTGCCGCTCTGTTTTGGGCCAGCTGCAGCTTAACTAGGTCTTTCCTTGCAGCACTGGACCACACGACCGGACAATAATCAAGATTAGACAAAAATAGAGCCTGCAGAACTTACTTTTTGGAGTGTGGTGTCAAAAAAGCAGAGCATCTTTATTACAGACAGACCTCTCCCCATCTTTACAACCATTGAATCTATATGTTTTGACCATGATAGTTTACAATCTAAGGTAACGCCAAGTAATTTAGTCTCCTCAACTTGTTCAACAGCCACACCATTCATTACCAGATTCAGCGGAGGTCTAGAACTTAGGGAATGATTTGTACCAAATACAATGCTCTTAGTTTTAGAGATGTTCAGGACCAGTTTGTTAGTGGCCACCCATTCCAAAACAGACTGCAACTCTTTGTTAAGGGTTTCAGTGACTTCCTTAGCTGTGGTTGCTGATGCTTATATGGTTGAATCATCAGCATACATGGACACACATGCTTTGTTTCATGCCAGTGGCACGTCATTGGTAAAAATAGAAAAGAGTAGAGGGCCTACACCACACTTTACATGTTTGACATTAGAGAAGGTTCCATGAAAGAAAACCCTTATAGTTCTATTCGATAGATGGCGCTGAATCCACGATATGGCAGAGGTTGAAAAGCCATAACACGTACGTTTTTTCAACAACATGTTATGGTCAGTAATATCAAACACTGCACTGAAATCTAATAGTACAGCTCCCACAATCTTCTTCTTATCAATTTCTTTCAACCAATCATCAGTCATTTGTGTCAGTGCAGTACATGTTGAGTGCCCTTCCCTATAAGCATGCTGAAAGTCTGTTGTTAATTTGTTTACAGAGAAATAGCATTGTATTTGGTCAACAGTTTTCTAAGAGCTGGCAGCAAGCTTATAGGTCTGCTGTTAGAACCAGTAAAGGCCGCTTTACCATTCTTGGGTAGCGGAATTAATTTGGCTTCCCTCCAGGCCTGAGGACAAAGACTTTCCTCTAGGCTCAGATTAAAGATATGACAGATAGGAGTGGCTATAGAATCAGCTACCATCCTCAGTAGCTTTCCATCTAAGTTGTCAATGCCAGGAGGTTTGTCATTATTGATCGGTAACAATCATTTTCCACCTCTCCCACACTAACTTTACAAAATTCAAACTTGCAATGGTTTTGTTTCATTATTTGTTTTCTTTATGCATGAATACGATGGCTCACTGTTCATTGTTGGCATTTCCTGCCTAAGTTTGCCCACTTTGCCAATTAAGTAATCATTAAAATAATTGGCAACATCAAATGGTTTTGTGATGAATAAGCAATCTGATTCGATGAAAGATTCAGTTGAATTAGTCTTTCTGCCCATTTCATTTTAAAGTACTCCAAAGTTTTTTCCCATCATTCTTTATATCATTGATCTTGGCTTCATAATACAGTTTCTTCTTCTTTTTGTTGAGTTTAGTCACATAATTTCTCAATTTGCAGTAAGTCAGCCAGTCAGATGTGCAGCCAGACATATTAGCCACTCCCTTTGCCCCATCTCTTTCAACCATACAGTTTTCCAATTCCTCATCAATCCATGGAGCCTTAACAGTTCTAACAGTCAGTTTCCTAACAGGTGCATGTTTATCAATAATTGGAAGAAGCAATTTCATAAATGCATTAAGTGCAGTGTCTGGATGCTCCTTATTAATCACATCAGACCAACAAATATTTTTTACATCATCCACATATGAGTCACAGCAAAATCTTTTGTATGATCTCTTATACACTATTTTAGGCCCAGCTGTTGGAACTTTGGCTTTCCTGGATATAGCCACTATATTGTGATCACTGCATCCAATGGGTACGATACAGCTTTAGAACAAAGTTCTACAGTATTAGTAAAAATGTGATCGATACATGTGGATGATCTTGTTCCTGTAGTGTTTGAACACCCTGGTAGGTTGATTAATAACCTGTAGCATAGAAGTAGAGCCTCCATCAGGCTCATTTGCAAAACAAAATGGCCACCAAAGTTACAACACAGTTCACGTACAGTGAGTTGTTCAGTGTAGTTATTTGAAGAGATGAGTGATATGAAAATGTCTCCCTCAGTTCATCATTTTGGCCGTGCGGTGATCATGTTCGGAGTGCCTTACGTTTACACACAGAGCCGGATCCTGAAGGTCAGTCTCACTCCTCTGCTGTTTATCATCCTTCCCTTGTTCTTCTCTTCTGTTCCGCGTATGTCCTCCTCACCCTTCTCTGTTATTCTTTCACTTTACTTCCTTTAATCCTAATGGGCTGTTTGTCCAAAATAGTTATCCTTCTCCTCTTTTGTCCATCTCTACCAGGCTCGTCTGGAGTACCTGCGGGACCAGTTCCAGATTAGAGAGAATGACTTCCTGACGTTTGACGCCATGCGGCACGCAGCACAGTGTGTGGGCCGCGTCATCAGGGGCAAGACGGACTACGGCTTGATGATCTTCGCCGACAAGGTGAGGACCTTTTGGAACTTGGTGTGTCCAAAAGTTTGAGGCAAACATTTCTTACCACTCTGATCATTGATAGACTCTAACCTGATAATTTTGTTGATCCTCTTTTAAGTGTCTGTAATGTCTACTTAAATGTTTGTAATGTATTTTTAGTTCTGTGTTAGACCCCAGGAAGATTAGCTGACGTTATGGCGTCAGCTAATGGGGATCCTAATAACAACTTTTAAATTTATCTTGTAATAAAAAAATTATAATCATAAAAAAGTGGATTTCTGGAAGTTGAAAGCCATAATGCACTGAGGTCACAGCAGGTTGTTCCATAATGCTGTTAGCTATCTAGTGCCTTCACATCAGTGGTAACAAATAAATGGGTAAAATAAAAAAAGGCTATTGAAGAGAATTGGAACAAAGCCTAAGATCCTGTTTCTCTCTCGTGTTGCAGCGCTATGCCCGGGCTGACAAGCGAGGGAAGCTGCCCCGGTGGATTCAGGAGCACCTCACTGACGGCAGCCTCAACCTGACCATCGACGAGACGGTACAGCTGTCCAAACACTTCCTACGCCAGATGGCCCAGCCCTTCAAACAGGTACAGCACATCACAGTACAGAGACATGTTTAGTAGGGTTCCAAGGTTGTGGAAACAAATGTAGATGCCGGTCTGACATGTAGAATAAGAAATCACATCAGATCTATTCATGATATCTCTACCTGCAACGTTCTTCAATGTTTGCCAACTGAACGTGTCCCAGGTCTCCCCTTAACCCCTCCTTTCTCTGAATGTCTCTCTCTGTCATCCCCCCCCCTCAGGAAGACCAGTTGGGCCTGTCTCTGCTGACACTGGAGCAGCTGCAGTCAGAGGACATGCTGCAAAAGATCGCCCAGATCGCTCACCAGGCCTAAGAGGAAGTGTCATCACCCAGTCAAACCCACGTCTGTCATACAGACAAGGTCACTGTTTCAATACTGTCCTACTGTACATAGAACAGTTTTTTTTTAACAACGTGTATATTTGCATAAGCCGGGAGGCCGAAAAATAAATGTTTACAGTTTCTACCATGCAGTTGACATGTTTAAAAAAAAAATGTACTTAGGGTACATCATGAAACATACGCAGACAAGGCTAGCATGAACACAGTGGATTGAAGAGACTCATTTTCAAAGACATTGACAATCTGCAAAGAAAGCTCTCCGTATGTAACAGCAGTGGAGATTTTAGCATGTAAATCTTGGTGGGGCAAACAAAACAAAAAAATGGGGGATGCATGCCAGCAAAGCCACAACACTAAACAATACATTAATTGCACTATAACTGTGCCCATAAACTGTTAGGGCCTACATAAAGCTGTTCCAACACCTTACCACTGCTACACCTGGCTATCAGCGGAGCCTTGTCTGGCAGCGAAACAGTTAATTCAGCCTAATTTACTGCCTTTAAAGAAAAACAGCTGATATGGTTGACTTGCTTAAACAAATGTGGTTTCTACTGACAATTGAGATGTACAAACTATGGCATTAGGGGATGACAAGCGGATAAGAGGCAATCCGTAATTTTGATTAAGACATTCATGAGCAAGCTAGGACTGACGTAGTCAATAACTATTTGTTCAGCACTTTTGAAAAGTGCAGCGACAGAATTCAGAACATGGGCCGATCTTAGTGTTCTCCCTGTACACCAAGTCAGAACCGTAGGACAAATAAAGGGGGCATATAAGCAGACAATGAAAGCACGCACAATATTAAATTATTACACTTCTCTAAAACAGGTTATAGGCTACATGTGCACCACCAAGTCAGAACTGTAGGCAAAATTAAGATGGGGAAAAATAGACCAAATTATTAAGTTGAGGCACAACATACACTTAGTATTACTTTCTTAGCTACAGTATACATATCTCCCTGGCATATTACATCATTTATGCAGTAGCATACAATACATGTTTGGACTCACCTTGTTGTGCTGTGCTCACTTGAACAGGAAGGTGGTGCAGCGGTCGTTCGTGGGAGAATTTTGTCATCAAAGTCTGGCATTCTCTAGATTTATGGTGCTTTCAAGACAACTGGGAACTCTGGGGGGAAAAAACAAGGTCGGATCATGATGACATCAGTGATCTTCAGGTCGTAGCTCTAGAAAGAGGCCCGAGTTCCTGATTTTACAATTCCGAGTTGGATGACTGTTCAAAATGTATTTTCCCAGTCGGAGCTCGTTTTTTCCCCGAGTTCCCAGTTGTCTTGAACTCACTGAAGTCAGATTTCCTAGTTAAGTTGTTTGGAGCGCAGCAGAAATCATGCTGGATTGACAGCATGGCCAATGTTGAATGTTTATCATTTTAAGCTTGGAAAAGAGACCAGAATTGGGACCACACACCCACTCCACTGAGTAGCAGGCTAGTGATTGCTTTGCAATGCTTGCAGTTAGCCACTGATTCCTTCCAAACCACTCATTGTTGAATTTGCGATTTCCAACTGGTTGTGTCATGTTTATGTCCAATGGCCGATGAGAACCGATAAGTTTTATCTATAATTTCTCTTCATTATTTCTCTTCATATGACAAGGATTAAAAAGGATTTGCAGGTAGATTGTCGACTTGATTCATGATGATGACTGCTAGCTAATATTTTGAAGGTATGATGTTGACATGATCAGTCCAATCAAAGCTACTGTAGATATGTGATTTTATCTGTGGCCAATGACCTTGAGCCTTCTTGGATGGGAACTTCTAATGTAACTCAATAGCAGCACCCAAGGGGCTTGCATTTCCGAGCTCTACCCTTAGATTTGGTGGTGATAAAGTGTCCCCATGAGTGACAGAACACAGCCAATCACGGCGCAACTAGAGAACATTACCAACCCCTACGCTCAGTATTTTCCGCTGGCTGCCCCAACACCACAGAAAGCACTGAGCTAGGCTGAAACACCTGCATTTTGGAGCTGCCTTACTCAAGAAAGCAAAAAAGAGACCATGTTTGTATGCGGCTTTATTAACTCTAATTTATGTTTTGTTTTTTTACATTGTTTGCAAACTGATATGACACATTAATGCCAAAATAACATGCAAAACAGCTAGCTATTTTTTAGCTAAGAATGTGGGACTCTGCCCCACCTGCCCTAAATGACTGGTCGCCACTGTGTAACAGCAACAGAGTTCTACATAAATAAGACGTAGGGCTCTATTTAATCTGTATTGCATATTCTATATTACAGCGTGATTTAAATTTAAAGGCAATTAGCGGCGATTGCATTCATGGTAAACGCTGCATATGTCGGCTCAATCGGAAATTACCTTAATTTCTATTGCGCAATCTGAAACGCTTGATACAGATTGAATAGAGCCCTTATTGTGCTTTGTCAGTTTATAGCCCCGTTTATACATGGTTCTAACATGCATATTGTGTCCTAATCGGATTGTGCACACTTTTTTTTAGACCAGTGTAGACGATTAAAATAAAGGGTATGGGCAAGATTAGAACCTGTGACCTTCTGGTCCCTATCCCATTGTGCCTAGTCCACTGCAGCAGCATGAAGGAGGGTACCACACGTTTCCCACATTTATAAAGCTGTTCAGTCAATTAGTCATTTAGAATGTCAAATGAGAAATGTCATTAGTTAAGGTTGGCAAAGAACACTCATTGGGATTGGAACTGGCGACCTTGTCGCAATCCACCTCAATGGGTTAACAATCTAAGTTTTCTACATTAGTGACGCCTCTACAGCCCTTTGAATGATCACGTGGCAATACCGCCACAGTGTATTAACAATCGCTTTTTGTCCCTCAAATTGCACATATTTACTCTTGACTTTAACACCCTGAGTAAGATGCATAAGCTACATCAACAAAATCTAAGAATGTTTAAAGATATACAGTGGGGAGAACAAGTATTTGATACACTGCCGATTTTGCAGGTTTTCCTACTTACAAAGCATGTAGAGGTCTGTAATTTTAATCATATGTACACTTCAACTGTGAGAGACGGAATCTAAAACAAAAATCCAGAAAATCACATTGTATGATTTTAAGTAATTAATTTGTATTTTATTGCATGACATACGTATTTGATACATCAGAAAAGCAGAACTTAATATTTGGTACAGAAACCTTTGTTTGCAATTACAGAGATCATACGTTTCCTGTAGGTCTTGACCAGATTTGCACACACTGCAGCAGGGATTTTGGCCCACTCCTCCATCCAGACCTTCTCCATATCCTTCAGGTTTCGGGACTTTCAGCTCCCTCCAAATATTTTCTATTGGGTTCATGTCTGGAGACTGGCTAGGCCACTCCAGGACCTTGAGATGCTTCTTACGGAGCCACTCCTTAGTTGCCCTGGCTGTGTGTTTCGGGTCATTGTCATGCTGGAAGACCCAGCCACGACCCATCGTCAATGCTCTTACTGAGGGAAGGAGGTTGTTGGCCAAGATCTCGCGATACATGGCCCCATCCATCCTCCCCTCAATACGGTGCAGTCGTCCTGTCCCCTTTGCAGAAAAGCATCCCCAAAGAATGTTTCCACCTCCATGCTTCACGGTTGGGATGGTGTTCTTGGGGTTGTACTCATCCTTCTTCTTCCTCCAAACACGGCGAGTGGAGTTTAGACCAAAAAGCTATATTTTTGTCTCATCAGACCACATGACCTTCTCCCATTCCTCCTCTGGATCATCCAGATGGTCATTGGCAAACTTCCGACTGGCCTGGACATGCGCTGGCTTAAGCAGGGGGACCTTGCGTGCGCTGCAGGATTTTAATCCATGACGGCGTAGTGTGTTACTAATGGTTTTCTTTGAGACTGTGGTCCCAGCTCTCGTCAGGTCATTGGCCAGGTCCTGCCGTGTAGTTCTGGGCTGATCCCTCACCTTCCTCATGATCATTGATGCCCCACGAGGTGAGATCTTGCATGGAGCCCCAGACCGAGGGTGATTGACCGTCATCTTGAACTTCTTCCATTTTCTAATAATTGCGCCAACAGTTGTTGCCTTCTCACCAAGCTGCTTGCCTATTGTCCTGTAGCCCATCCCAGCCTTGTGCAGGTCTACAATTTTATCCCTGATGTCCTTACACAGCTCTCTGGTCTTGGCCATTGTGGAGAGGTTGGAGTCTGTTTGATTGAGTGTGTGGACAGGTGTCTTTTATACAGGTAACGAGTTCAAACAGGTGCAGTTAATACAGGTAATGAGTGGAGAACAGGAGGGCTTCTTAAAGAAAAACTAACAGGTCTGTGAGAGCTGGAATTCTTACTGGTTGGTAGGTGATCAAATACTTACGTCATGCAATAAAATGCAAATTAATTACTTAAAAATCATACAATGTGATTTTCTGGATTTTTGTTTTAGATTCCGTCTCTCACAGTTGAAGTGTACCTATGATAAAAAATGACAGACCTCTACATGCTTTGTAAGTAGGAAAACCTGCAAAATTGGCAGTGTATCAAATACTTGTTCTCCCCACTGTATGTTTCAGAAATAATTTAATGTAAATGTACCCCAAACTGAGACAAATTAAAAATAAGACATTACATACAGGCACATAGTGCTTTTACTTTTGGGCCATCAAAATAGCTTATGCTTTTTATCTGCTCATAATGAAATCTGCTAAATATAGTTAAAACATTTCACAGAATGCCAAGCCTTAGACAATAATTACATAGCATTCTACAGCTGGACTGGGAAGTGCAGACTTTGCTCTAGTATTGTGGACTAAAGAGAGCACTTTACCACAACCTAACATGGAAGCCAATACACGGTTTGTTCATCACATTCACTAGCTATATTAGTAAATCATTGTTTTAATTGTGCAGATCAGTGTTTTGGAATTAAAATCATCTAGTGCCAAAAACGAGTACTGCTGGTAAACATGAACACAAGAAGATAAAATCGGAATGTAACACGTTTTAAAAACCACATTGTATAAATAAGATATTTTTTACACGCACAGCTACAATAATTTGGATAACATCCAATAGCTGCAGACACTTACTTGATGGCCAAACTGCAGTTGAGTGTCCCAAATGCAAATAATGTTCATAATTGTGAACAATCATTGAAGAATTCAAGCATTTCCCTCATTGTACAGTAAGTCACAACAACAGAGCATTACTAAATCATTATAAAAAAGGAACATTGATTGTCATTTCATTTCCAGATTAAACTGGTAGTGTTCAGAGGTGTAGCTGAGGGACCCTCGGCGTGCCAGACTCTGGGTGCTGGAGCTCAGGGTTCGGTTCTCCGTTAGGCCGCTGGGGCTCTGGAAGAACATACAAAACACTTGACTAGTCTGACTATGTGTATAACAATGACATATACAGTACATTGATTTTGATGACACAGCCAGAGAAATGCCTTAGGATATGAAGCACATCAAATGAAAGGTGATGAATAAACACTAACAATCATATTGTACAGAAATGTGAGAAAAAGCCAGAAATCAGAAACTGCTGCTCACCCTTGCCACTTGACGCTCCCTCACACCCACGTTCAGCACATTCAGAGAATTAGCCCTTTTCATCCTGAGAGAGAACCAGAAAGAGAGAGTGAGAGTAACAAATTGGACATCATTTTGAGAGCTAACACTTGCAGAATGAGGACTTGGTCTTTACCCAGGAGTCGGAGGGGTGGTATCCTGAGTTCCGACTCCTTTCAGCTTCCTGACCAGCTTCTCACTGCTCCTGCGTATCGACTCGCGGAGCTTGGTGAACGAGCTGCTGCGCTTCAGACTGCCCAGCCCATCCTGGGTCCAGATATCCCGCACCTCACCTGAGACACCAACATCACAGAGGATATGTAACCGGTGTGAAATGGCTAGCTAGTTAGCGGTGCGCGCTAGTAGCATTTCAATCGGTGACGTCACACGCTCTGAGACATTGAAGTAGTTGTTTCCCTTGCTCTGCAAGGGCCGCGGCTTTTGTGGAGCGACGGGTAACGGTGCTTCGAGGGTGACTGTTGTCGATGTGTGCAGAGGGTCCCTGGTTCAAGCCCAGGTAGGGGCGAGGAGAGGGTTGGAAGCAACACTGTTACAGATACACATCAGTGGCATCATCCAGTACGATTAGCTATTTACAGTACATATCGGAGATACATTTTTATTCCAATACCCTTTTAGGATCAAAATGCTATTGAACCTAGAGAGCAGATTTCAAAAGATCATATTATGAGTTTGCGCTCACCATCCGAAGATCCAAACTCTTTTTCGTTGGCCCGGGTCAGGATCTCTTTATACAGAGCCTCAGCTTGTCTGTACTTCCCTTGTTTCAGGTAACATGAAGCCTGTAGCCAGAAATACAGCAATACTAGAGTCACAAATAGCGCTATCACACCTCAGATCGATAGGCACACGCATGCAGCTTGGGTCAATGTCCCCTACTTCTACCCAATCATAGCATATTATACACACACATAATATGGTATCATCTAGCCCAGTGACCATGCCAACCATGTCCACTCCCCCTTTATACCCCTCCCTCCATTCTCTCTCTCCATCCCTCACCAGGTTATTCTTGGTCTTGGCCACGTTGGCGTCGTCGGGGCCCAGCCTGCTCTGGTAGATGTGCAGGGCACGCTCGTAGTACTGCTCCACTTCATGGTACTTTCCCTGGTTCTGACACAGCAGCGCCAGGTTGTTCAGCTGCTTTGCCACGTCAGGGTGGTCCGTGCCTAACACCTGCCCACAACAACAAGAGGGGAGGGGGGTGAATGGAGATGAACAGGCAGGTTTGGGTAATAAGCAGTGTTAGGGGTAGCGCATTACAAAGTAACGCATTACAGTAATTAAATTACTTTTTGCGGTAATGTGTAATATAACAGAGTTACTCTTCCAATTTAAATAATACAGTTACTGAAAAAAAAAAATGGGTTGTTATTTGTGTTATCATTCATTTCCTATTACAGTTACTGATCCAAATAAGTATTTGTGATGCCACAAAATAATTTATAAAATCCCCCCCGCCCCAGATTCTAATTGTTTTCGTCTGACGCCCTCTCACCAAGTTCCTGTTTACACACACACACTCTACTAGTAACTGCTTTAGTGGGGGAGATGGAAATGGCAGAAGCGTCTAAAACATTGAGTTTCTCAGCGCGGAAGTACTCCCATTACTTTGATTTGGTAGGACAAAATTATAAGAATATAACAGTCAAATGTAAACTGTGCCCAGGAGAGAAACACCTCTCCACTGCTAGAAACATAACATTGTTTACATTGAGTGAGGACGTGCAACGTTTTGGGATGTAACGCAAAAGTACTAAAACGAGTAGTGGAACAAATTACTTTTCCCAGGGAGTACTAAGTAATTATTTATTGTTGAAAGAAGTAACGAGTGATAGGTAATATGACTTTTTGCTTGCATGATTGAGAAATGACAGTACAATATAAATTTGTACTGTAGCAGTGCTATACTACAGAATGCTTGCAGAGTTGCCATTTGTCCATCAGAGGGCAGGGTTTCTAGTCACGGTGCTGCTAGGTTACTGCCTCACTACCTTCTCTCTGATCTCCAGGGCTCTCTTACACAGTGGCTCAGCCTCCTTGTACTTCCCTCTCTTTCCATACAGTACAGCAAGGTTGTTTAGTGTGGCTGCCACCTATAAACAAATACAGTACTGTTAGTTACATACAGTGGTGGGTAAACTCTGATTGCCGGTCGCGATGAAAAAAGAAACACTCCCTATATTTTCAATAGATTCTTCCGCAAAAGATGGGTAAACTGTTGGCCAAATTTTGTTTAACGTGCGTTTACCCTCCACTACACCACTGGTTACATACTGTAGCTGCTTCTCCACTGTGCTGGGGAAAGCCATTTTGGTGACCCTTGACCTTCACTATAGAGGAACATACCGCAGGGTGGTCTATACCCAGGGTCTTCTCCCGAATGGCCAACGCATCATTCAGGAGGTTAGCTGCCTCTTTGTACTTGTTCTGGTCTCTGCAGAGAAAAGCGAAACAGCCTTTACCATTAGCATATGGCTAACAGAACTAGCCACACTATGGAAATCCCCCACAGTAAGACCTAGCATGGAGGTTATGCTAGGCTAACGTGGCTCCACTCACCTGTAGACCAGGGCCAGTATGTTGAGCATGGTGGCCACGTCAGGGTGGCTGTGGCCTGAGGACTTCTCCAGGTCCTCCAAGGCCTGTTTGCAGAGGGGCACAGCCACCTCATAGCGGCCCTGGGAGGCGTACTGGATCACCAGGTTGTGGAGGGTCCTCAGGCGGGCCGGGATCTCATAGCCTCCCTGCTGGGCCGCTGCCACCGCACTACTACCGTGGGGCTGAGATACTGGGGGACAGGAGGACACAAGAGGGGGGTAGAGAGAGTCACTCATACACACACACACACACATATACATTAACACAAACATCCAAAGACACATATACTCACTCACAAATATATTGTACAGTTGAAGTCGGAAGTTTACATAAACTTAGGTTGGAGTCATTAAAACTAATTTTTCAACCACTCCACAAATTTCTTGTTAACAAACTATAGTTTTGGCAAGTCGGTTAGGACATCTACTTTGTGCATGACACAAGTAATTTTTCCAACAATTGTTTACAGACAGATTATTTCACTTATAATTGACTGTATCACAATTCCAGTGGGTCAGTAGTTTACATACGCTAAGTTGACTGTGCCTTTAAACAGCTTGGAAATTTCCAGAAAATGATGTCAAGGCTTTAGAAGCTTCTGATAGGCTAATTGACATCATTTGAGTCAATTGGAGGTGTACCTGTGGATGTATTTCAAGGCCTACCTTCTAACTCCATGCCTCTTTGCTTGACATCATGGGAAAATCAAAAGAAATCAGCCAAAACCTCAGAAAAAAATGGTAGACCTCTACAAGTCTGGTTCATCCTTGGGAGCAATTTCCAAGCGCCTGAAGGTACCACGTTCATCTGTACAAACAATAGTACGCAAGTATAAACACCATGGGACCACGCAGCCGTCATACCGCTCAGGAAGGAGACGCGTTCTGTCTCCTAGAGATGAACGTACTTTGGTGCGAAAAGTGCAAATCAATCCCAGAACAACAGCAAAGGACCTTGTGAAGATGCTGGAGGAAACAGGTACAAAAGTATCTATATCCACAGTAAAACAAGTCCTATATCGACATAACCTGAAAGGCCGCTCAGCAAGGAAGAAGCCACTGCTCCAAAACAGCCATAAAAAAGCCAGACTACGGTTTGCAACTGCACATGGGACAAAGATCGTACTTTTTGGAGAAATGTCCTCTGGTCTGATGAAACAAAAATAGAACTGTTTGGCCATAATGACCATCGTTATGTTTGGAGGAAAAAGGGTGTGGCTTTCAAGCCGAAGAACACCATCCCAACCGTGAAGCACGGGGTGGCAGCATCATGCTATGGGGGTGCTTTGCTGCAGAAGGGACTGGTGCACTTCACAAAATAGATGGCATCATGAGGAAGGAAAATTATGTGGATATATTGAAGCAACATCTCAACACATCAGTCAGGAAGTTAAAGCTTGGTCGCAAATGGGTCTTCCAAATGGACAATGACCCCAAGCATACTTCCAAAGTTGTGGCAAAATGGCTTAGGTATTGGAGTGGCCATCACAAAGCCATGACCTCAATCCTATAGAAAATGTGTGGGCAGAACTGAAAAAGCGTGTGCGAGCAAGGAGGCCTACAAACCTGACTCAGTTACACCAGCTCTGTCAGGATGAATGGGCCAAAATTCACCCAACTTATTGTGGGAAGCTTGTGGAAGGCTACCCCAAACGTTTGACCCAAGTTAAACTATTTAAGGGTAATGCTACCAAATACTAATTGAGTGCATGTAAACTTCTGACCCACTGGGAATGTGATGAAAGAAATAAAAGCTGAAATAAATAATTATCTCTACAATTATTCTGACATTTCACATTCTTAAAATAGTGGTGATCCTAACTGTCCTAAAACTGGGAATTTTTACTAGGATTAAATGTCAGGAATTGTGAAAAACTGAGTTTAAATGTATTTGGCTAAGATGTATGTAAACTTCTGACTTCAACTGTACATAGACACATACACAAACAAACGCACAGCGAGTGACAGACTACGCAACACAGAGAGACACATCGGGACACCGACACACATACATGCACAGCAGATAGATAGACAAGAATATCCGTCTCATTTGACAAGTGCACGTACTCTGTGACTGTTCCTCCTCATCCGTGGGAAAAAGGTCATCTAGGGACTCCTTGGTGGAGCCCGTCTCTTTGTCATCCTGTCGACATAGAAAACATTACTAGATTGATAGTACAGAGCTGAGGGGAGTACCTATATGAACTATACAGAGAAACACATTGCAACCTGTTCTGATAAGCCACCAACAGCTTAGCTTTAGTCATAACATAAGAGATGAGGCAAACACATGCACCATGTACTGGGTCATATTCATTACGGTACACTGTAGCGAAACATTTTGCAATGGAAAGCGAATATGAGCATTTCTCATTAGACAAGTTTTGGTAGTTCCTCACTGTATCAGTCTGTTCTTTCCCGTTTGGTGCCTAATGAATACGACCCTGATTGTGGTTGTCTGTGACATACCGGTGGGGGCTCCTCCTGGTCGTACTTGCGGATGCTGCTCATGAACTGCAGGTGTCTGTTCTGCTCCTCCAGGGTGACCACCTCCTGCTCCCTGTCCTGCAACCTCTGCTGGGCCCTGGCCAGCTCGTCCCTCAGCCACTGGTTCTCCTGGCACAGCCTCCGTACCTGGGTCCGCAGCTTCTGCTTCTCTGCCTCCAGGGAGCCCAGGTGGGCCGACAGAGCCATCATCACCTGGGGAGGACGAGAGAGAGGGAGGAGGGAGAGGGAAAGAAAGAGAGAGTGAAGTAGGTGTACATATATACATGTACAGATCCAATACAGCCAAAATACAACTTCACCCATTCTCCATGCATTCCCTCATCTCCAGTATGACCCCACCTGGGCCTCTCCCAGGCCCAGCTCTATCCTCTCCAGAGACTGGCGGATGATGCCACTCTTCTCCTGCTCCACACTGCCACTCTCGGCCACCGGCCGGCCTTCCAGTGCCTTCTGCAGGTTGTCTAGGAGGGTGTGGTTCTCACCGCGCAGGGCCTCCAGGCCCGCTATCACTTGCCGCGTGCTGCACAGAATCTCCTCCCCCGACAGCATGGTGCCTCTCTCAGCTCTACCCTGTATGGAGGAGGAGGAGGAAGGGGAGGGTTCACCATTTTAAAATACTTGTACATGGTCATATGGACTGTACAAGGTGTCGAAAGTGTTCCACAGGGATGCTGGCCCATGTTGACTCCAATGCTTCCCACAGTTGTGCCAAGTTGTCTGGATGTCCTTTGGGTAGTGGACCATTCTTGATACACACAGGAAACTGTTCAGTGTGAAAAACCCAGCTGCGTTCCAGTTCTTAACACAAACCGTTGCGCCTGGCACCTACTACTTCACCCTCTGAATGGCACATATACACAATCCATGTCTCAATTGTCTCAAGGCTTAAAAATCCTTCTTTAACCTGTCTCCTCCCCTTCATCTACACTGAATGAAGTGGATTTAACAAGTGACATCAATAAGGGATCATAGCTTTAACCTGGTCAGTCTGTCATGGAAAGAGCAGGTGTTCCTAATGGTTTTACACTCAGTGTGTATGCATATATGGGACACACAAAGTGAATAAAGGTCCTACAGTGGTGTTCAATGGCAGCATGGAATTATGTACTGGTGGTAATATGGCTAATGGCAACACTCCACAGTAAACAGTGTTGTGTTGGACTATGACAATGTGTTGGCTAATCAACTAGCTTTAGATATACAAGTCTAGGGTTGCACGATATTGGAAATAACTGACATTGCGATATTTTGTTTTTCTGCGATATATATTGCGATTTGAAAATGGGATGGGGAAAATGCAGTTTGCAAACAGCGACTTTTCAGGTGGAAGTCCTCATTAATAAAGTGTACGGTCAGACTTATGTAGGGCTCCGTTGTCCGGCTGGACCACAAGTCCGTTGTTGCTGTATAATATTCCACTTGTGACAGCTCTGTTTCAACTTGTGCCTTGCATTTCTCGTACAACTCTGGGATGGCAACTTGAGAAACATAGTTGTGTGATGGCATTACATACCGCTTGTCAAGCGACCGGATCATGTTTTTAAAACCCTCTTTGGTAACCGTGTTAATCTTCTTTGGCGACGTCAAATGTTATTGAATCTGTGATTTCTCTCTGCCGTTTGGAACCTTTCTCGTATGGTGTAATACAAGGCATCCGAAATAGATTTTTGCTTTGGAGGGCATTGAGATGCTTTGCACTCATCATACGAAGATTTGTGGTGCCGCCTTAATTGATCGAACAAATTGGTCGTGTTGCCTCGTGTTGTGGCAACAATTGCAAGGCACTCTCGACAAAGTACCTTTTTGGTCAACATCATCCTGTCTGTAGCCGAAATATTACCATATAATTGACGATGCATTTATTTTTGCAACCAAATTCTCAATTTCGGTCTCTTTTTGCCTGTTCCTCGCTCATCATTTCGTCACGCGCAAGCAGAGCCTGCATGTCAACCACGTGCAGCAACGAAACCCATAAATCGGAGTAAATGACGTTATATCAGACAGATATAATGCTAGTTTAACATTACAAAAAAATATATATTGTTGACTGACATGTTTACCTTACTAAATCGCACGTTCTGCGATGTGACTATTGCGGATGCATACATCGCAATGTCGACGCTGAAATGATATATCGTGCAGCCCTATATACAACTATAATTTTACCACTGCCAGTATGCTAAAGTGACTTGTGACTAGTAGTGATTTACAGTAAAATACAGCTGGTACTGAACTGAGATGTCTCACAAACAGCAGCCCCTAGACACACAAAGACAAACACACAGAGGAGAAAGGAGAGGGGATAAATCACTTCTAACAAGCCTACCATAATGACAATCCATTTTTATCTGTCCTATAGCTGTTTCACAAAACAAATCATCTTATCAGAACATATGATGCTCCAAGTTCCGTGCAAAGTGCAAAACTACAAGTGTAGTCTATGTTTACCACTGCAGGGGTGTGTCACCGATGACAACAGTATGCTGAACTGACACCCTGCCAGAGCCTTTGAAACTGTAAAGTGATCTACCTGGGGATTTTTATGCAAACTTTCATAACCACAATGACTATGCATTCTGGCAGCCAAAGGAAACAGTGAATAGCCAATACAGACAAAAATGGTTATGTAAGTAAAACACATCTGGGGACAACGGTGTCATTTTGCTCCTGTGAGACTGAAGGCATAAAGCCTGGAGCTGACAGCCGCCCAGTTCAATGACTCAAGTCATAACACATGATGTATCCTACTTCCTGGTCAGTGGGGCATCATGCCACATTGAGGGGTTGGAGTGGATTGTGTAGTACAATGAGAATGGGTCCAGAGAGAAAAGGTCTGATCATATGGTTGGTGTGCAGTTCTGACATTAAATGAAAACCCAAAACAATATAAATCTTGACCTGCTACAGATACAAATAAAAAATAGTAGTGGGTGTTATATTTCTGGTTGGGTGTTCTATTTCACAGTCCCTGCTCTCTGTGGCAATAACATGTTGATGCATCTTGCAGCAGGGCTACAGAGGATGGCCTCAAAAAATAAATACAATAAGTTTGGCTTATCAAAGACCAGATGGGAAGCCTGAACTTTAATCATGAGCATAAAAGGCCTCTGATCACCCTTACACCATACCAATACTAATGGGAGTACAGGACAGGAGGGCTGCACTGTGAAGCCAAGCGCCTAAGAGGAGAAACAGGTGTCTATGGGGAACAAGAGAGGGAGCTGTGCTGGGCCTGAGCAGGAGGCTACATCAGCATAACAGCAAAAGGCAGGCCAGCTGCAGCAGACCATACATTAACACAAGGATATCGGTTTACTAGTGGCTCCTGGGAGGAGGGCACCGTATGGCAGTTGTAATGGTAAACAGTGGTCATTGGAATTGATTGGGACTCATGCTGCAGTCAGTTTATAAAGGACCTATAACGGATCTAAAGATGAAAAGAGTGGTGCTCTTATTTAATATTTGGGTAAATCTATTTGAATTCAATCACTTTTTGACAGAATCTCTTTTGATTTAAACATACAGTATATTTCCATTCATGTTTGCCCATGGAAGAAGTGGTCAGAAAGTGACTTTTTGGACCTGAATGCTAAAACATTCAGGAGATAAAAGAACTCAAAGTTGGCCCATTTTGCATACACCACCATACCTTGAGACATCAATGTCTTCATCACTGGAAAAGATAAACGGTTGAGTTTGAGATAATTTAAAAGCTTACAAATAGTGTCGTCAAACTATACTGAACAAAAATATATACGCAACATGTAAAGTGTTGGTCCCATGTTTCATGAGCTGAGATAACAGATCCCAGAAATGTTCTATACGCTCAAAAAGCTTATTTATCCCTGTTAGTGAGCATTTCTCCTTTGCCAAGATAATCCATCCACCTGACAGGTGTGGCATATCAAGAAGCTGATTAAACAGCATGATCATTACACAGGTTCACTGAGGAGTATTTCTGTCTATAATAAAACCCTTTTGTGGGGTAAAACTAATTCTGATTGGCTGGGCCTGGCTCCCCAGTGGGTGGTCCTATGCCCTCCCAGGCTGACCCATGGCTAAATAATTTATTTAAATTGACTGATTTCCTTACATGAACTGTAACTCAGTAAAATCCTTGAAATTGTTGCATTTTGCGTTTATATTTTTGTTCAGTGTATTTGATTATTATTTTTTTTAATGTAATTTTTATAGAAATTGTGAAATTTTAAACATTTAACGTTAATTATCCAAAAACGCGTAAACTCACATTTTTGTTTATTTTTGCATAGGTTGTAGCTTAGACCCTATTTCACATCATCTGAGGTTTTTGTGTTGTGCCCGCCATTGATTGAAAAACAACATGCTCTTGAATACAGGGTGGGTGTCATTTCAATCATAGAAATTGAATTCAGAGAATGGACCTATCCCTTCAGACCACTGCAATTTAGCTGGTACACCATTGAAATGTTAATTGAATTGACATTTTAACTTCTAATTACTATCACAAAGATGACCGCCGGTCCACCCACCGTCGAATTTCAACTTAAATGTCTAATCTATATTTCTATAATTTCAATAGGATTCTTATAGAGGATTGAGAGTATAATTTAACACAACAGATATTCCCATTCAAGTCAACATTCTCTGATATGTGGAACTCCAACCATCTTTGTGGTACCATTTGAAAGTTGAAATGTAAATTTTATTCCCATTTTAGTACATTTATCAGCCAAATCATGGCACCCACCCTGTATTCAAGAGCATGTTGTGTCTCAACCAATGCTGGGCACAACAGAAAAACCTTAAATTATGTCAAATAGGGTCTAAACTGCAAAACAAATCTGCCTTTACGTGTTTTTAGATAATTTACGTTAATTGTAAAAATAAAAAAATAAAAATTAGACCGTTGGTCTTTTCCAGTGATGAAAACATGGCTGTCTCATGGTATGGTATTCAAAATGGGTCAATTTTGAGCACCTTTATCTCTAATGTTTTGGCATTCAGGTCCAAAAAGTCACTTTCTGAGCACTTCTGCAGTGGGCAAATATGAGGGTTTGTTCAAATCAAAAGGGGTGCTGTCAAACAGTGCTTGAATTCAAATGGATTTACCCATTTCTTTCTGAGAAAGTGATCAAAGGCACTATATCTTGAATTGCTGACTTAACAATGACACACCCTGTCATTTACATAAGAGGTTTAATCATGTCAGTCATAGATATACTTCAATGCAATGCTCTGGATTACCTCATCTTCCTCATTTAAACCAGCACTATTGTCACCAAGACTTGTCCAGACTTTACATTTACATTTTAGTCATTTAGCAGACGCTCTTATCCAGAGCGACTTACAGTTAGTGAATACATATTTTTTTTAATACTGGCCCCCCGTGGGAATCGAACCCACAACCCTGGCGTTGCAAACGCCATGCTCTATCAACTGAGCTACATCCCTGCCGGCCATTCCCTCCCCTACCCTGGACGACGCTGGGCCAATTGTGCGCCGCCCCATGAGTCTCCCGGTCGCGGCCGGCTGCGACAGAGCCTGGATTTGAACCAGGATCTCTAGTGGCACAGTTAGCACTGCGATGCAGTGCCTTAGACCACTGCGCCACTTTAGGGATAGCTGAAATACTATACCATTACAAGTGGTGGTAAGAGGAGACTCAAGAGGATCAATTGAAAGCAATAAATGTGATGACTGAATAGTAGGCCTACCCGCCTACCACCCTCCCACAGTAGGCTACAAATCAAGCTTACTTTACATACTTTTTTGTTAATGTCATGTTTTATGGATAAATAGGCCTACAACTCTATATTCACAGAATTAAGAAAATCGGAATATATCATTTTTATAATGCATTATTTTGTCCTTTACAGATATAGACAGGCCTGTTTGGCCATTTTATGCACTCATGAAGAAACTGACAGGTCAGTGGACCTACATTAAAAATGGTGGAACAGTTACTATAGGCCTACAGAGGAGCATCCTCTATGGGAGAAATGCAATACCTGTCAGAAACAGATAAACAACATGTGCGCGTGTACAGGAGGACTTGTGCCATAGGCATTTGGATGTTTTCCATCGTAAGACGTTGTCTGCCTTCACAGTGCACACGGTTTTATGTGGATTAAGAACTTGAACTTGTATAACATTAGGCAATAACAACGGATGGTTAGGCCTGTGTATTGTTGTAATGTTGTTGCTTTGTCAACGCGTTTAAAATGGTATAGGAAAACTTATACTGCTAAGGCTACAGACAAATAAAGAAAGACAAAAATGTATTCATCAAAATAAATAAATAAATGTTGTCAAATAAATGTATTGATGACATACTACAGGCATACAGAAGGAAATAAAGACCATTGGGATATAATGCAGCCATTGAAACTATTAAATTATGACCCACCTGTCAAATAACAAATTGATGTTAACACTAACAAGAATACTATCAACAAAGTTATATTTAACCTACCTGCTGCTAATTCCAGGCTTTTGGCGAGTTGTCGACCTCTTTTTGTCGCGTATCTCCGATTTTCATTCGGGCTCCCATTAAAGTTAATTGGACCGCTCGCGTCAAAACATCCACTATTTGTTTATTATGGGACCAAGATAACGGGTATCTTTGGACGACGGCATTAACAGCAGTCCTACAGTAATTCAATAATCATTCACCTGTTCTTGCGGCTCAGACTGTCTCGTTTTACCTGATCTGATCATTCCCACCATGCACCGCGGTAGATGGATGTCATCTCCCTCTGGGGACAAGGCCATCTATCTGTGGGTGCTCTGAACTGCGAGTGACGGGACAAACCAGCACAAACAGGACTGCAAGGCTGACAGTCACCGAGATAAACTGTTCTTTTCACATTTTTTCCCCCAAAAAACCCCCAAAAAAAATTTTTTAATAAGGGGGGGGAAAATCGGGGGGGGAAAATAAAAAAAAAAAAAAATTTTTTAAAATTTTTTTAAAAAATGCTTTTTAAAAAAATTTGGTTTTTCCCCCCCCTTTACAAAGAAAAAAAAAATTAAACAAAAAAGGCCTTTTTTTTTGGGGCCCCGTTTTACGGGATGGGGAAACGGCTGGAAAAAAACGAAAGGAAAGGGGGCCCTTTAAAAAAGGTTTCCCAGAAACAAAAACACAGGGGGTTTCTTGGGGCTACTTTTGGGTTTTACGTCTGCCCCTTTTCCATACCCTTTGAGGGGTTTTCCCCCTTTGACGGGCCAATTAAACCTTTGGGGGTTTTGAATTGTTTTTGAAAACCGAAAAAAGGATTTCCGTGAAATGGAAAAAAAATTTTTTCTTTTTAAAACTTTTAGGAAAATAGGCAAAAAAAAAAAAAGAAGATAAAAATAATTAAATTTTAAATTGTTTAGACACCCCCAAACCAAAAATAAAAAAAAAGGTTAAAAAACCCCCCCCAAAACCCGGTCAAATAACAAATTTTTTCAAAAAATTTTCAAAAATTTTTTTTGTGTAACTTTTGGATTGCCCTCTTTGTGCTACCCTTTTTAGGGGGCCCCCTTAAAGTTTTTGGGCCCTGGCAAAAATCCCTATTTGTTTTTTTTTCAATAACGGGTTTTTTTTGGGACACCAAACACATCCCAGTAACCAAAACATCACTCCCCAATGTTGTTTTATGATCTGACCCCCACCCCCGCTAAGAGTTTCCCTTGGGGGGGCCCCTTATGGGGGTTCGCGGGTGAGGGAAAACCCGGGGAAAACGGGGGAATAATAAATGCCAATTTTTAAAAACAAAAAAGGGGTTTATTATTTATAGGGAAAAATAATAAAATTTAGTTTAGCAGGCCAATTTATTGGGGTTGGGAATTTTTTATTTAAAATGTCTCCCCTTAAAAGGTTTTTTAGGCTTTGGGCCCCCCAAAAATTTTTGTTTTTGGGTAAGGAATGGCTAATGCTTGTGGTACAGAATTTTTTTTGAAAATAAAAATTGGGTTGTGATTTAATTTTTGAGTCAGGGTTTTTCAATTAAGATTCAACAAACAACCAAAAATCCCCAGGGGCAAAAAGAGGGTTGAAAGAGAAAAAACAGAAAAAACAAAAAGGGTGGGGAGTGGTGGGGTTGGGATTGCGGGGTATGGGGTTGAACCCGGGGGGGATTAATTAATTGGTTTTTCAAAAAAGGTTTAAAAGGGGGGAGGGTGGGGGTCCCCCGGGGAGTAAAAAAACATTGGGGATTGTTGGAAAGGGCTGGCGGGGGTACAGGCACCATATTGAAAAAGAGAAAAGGTTTAGGTTTTGGATAATGCAAAGGTTAAAAACCAAAAAGGTAGTTTCGGATCTTACACATATTGATGCGGTCCCATTATGATCACCCATTCATTTTGGGGGAAAATTTATTGAAAAAGGTTTGGCAGGAACCGGGGAAAAACAAAGGTATGGGAAAATGGTGCGCTTGGCAACGGTAAACAAAAAAAAAGTCTTTTAAAATAAAAACGGGGGGAACAAACAATACGGGGTGTCTCAAGTTTACCTTTATATTTCCTCGGGGCTTTTTATAGGCAACCCTCCTTTTAAAGGGAAACCCCTTATATATTCGCCTATAACACCTTTCAAAATTTCCCGTTCCTATGATGCATCATTATTCCCCCAAAGTCAGTGGTGGGAATTTTTTTGTTTCCGTGGCCTTTTTTGACCCCTTTTTTAATGATTTGGGGGTAAAAAGCGTTTTTTCCCCTTTGGCAAAAAGGGTTTTGGTTTAATTTGAAATTTCGGGAAAACAATAAAAGTTTTTGTTTTTTCCCAAATTAAACCCCCCTTTTTTTTTTTGGGGTCAAAAAAAATTTGGGTTAACTTTTTTTTTAAACATTTTAGGGTTATCAATTTCCCCTGTCATGGTTTGGCTTTTGGTATACCCCAACACCTTCCATAAAATTTGACCAGGCCCCCTGAAGGGGTTCTTTAATATGGCAGGGGCTGAGGGGGTTTTTTTTCCCCATGGGCCAGTGGATGGGGGGGCCCCCAGAAGATGGGGTTTTAAAGTGTTTTTGGTTTTGGGCGTTTGGTAGGGTTTTGGGAAATTTGGTTAAAAACAACATTTAAAAGTTTTTAACCCATGTAAAAAAAACTTTGGTGCGCTTTGGGAGGGTGATTTTTGGTGGGGGGGGCGGGGGAATACTAAAATTTTTTTGGAACTTTAAATGTGAATGTAAAAAAATCGGTCCCTAAAAAAAAAAACAAGGGAAAACAAAAAAACAACAACAAACCCCAAGTTTTTGGCCACCTCTTTTTGATACTAAAAATTCTCTAACCCCACCCATGGGGAAAAAAATATGAAAACCCCCCAATTTTATTTTTTTTATTTGGGGCAGGCGTCAATTAAAAAAACATTCTACAGTATTTCTGATTGTCTTCTCAACTCACCATCACATACTTCTAATGTGGGGCAGTCAATTGCATATTTGTCTGCCATAACGTCTCTTATCTCACCACCGCTAATGAGATGGGTGTGCTTGATGCATGTCGCGTCGGGGGGCGTGGTCGACAGTGGGCACCTCATCTCTGCTTTCACATCCAACCTGGACCAATATTTGGTTTTAATGCAGACGAGAGCACTGAATCCAGCTTCACACAGATATGAGCTGGCGAAAGGTAGCCTACCATGATTTTTATGTTGCTTTCAAGACAACTGGGAACTCTGAAAAATACGAGGTCAAATCATGACGTCAGTGATCATTAGATCGGAAATTCAGAGCTCTAGAAAGAGGCCAGACTTCCCGAGTTGGAATTCCGAGTTGGATGACCGTTCAAAACAATTTTTCCCAGTCGGAGCTCGTTTCTTTCCGAGTTCCCAGTTCCGAGTACTCAGTTGTTTTGAACGCGGCATTTAATGCTCATTGGGAGACGGCAGGGTACCCTTTGAGTCCCTTTGGCCTGCCCGCCGTCCCATGATAGATGGAGCCATCTGTGCAAATGTTACGCCCCTGAAAAAGGGGAGAAATAATCACGAAAGTGATGCAGTTGTTTCCTCACTGAAAACTTTAGTGTAATGAGAAAAAGACCGCGATTTCCCCAGAAAGTTGGGTGGAGACCAGAGCAATCGATCTCAGGCTCATAGATTAAGAGCATTTAGTAGATCACAGATTAACACTTTTACCCTTAAATTAGGCACCACAAAATAAAGTAGTCAAATATAACGTTTACACATTCCTCTTACAATATTTACCCTTTTACACTTGACGGATTTTAACACATTTATGAATTTTATCAATCTCTATGAACTAGTACTGGATGCATGATCTTTTTAACCTTAGATATTTTAAGATCCTTACATACCATGAACTTACTAATACTTTTTAGTGTATAACAGGCTATGAATATGTCCTTTAACCTGTCACACTCTCCCCGACAAAATAAATGTTGTCCCAACATTACCAACATTGTCTTCTTAAACAGTCTATAAGCACTGGACGTAGAAAATCCTCTTCTGTAAGATAGTCCTTGAGCAGAGGTCAAAGTTCACAGTTCAAATAGAACCAAGAAGTTATATTCACAGTCCATATCTGTTGACCAGCTGTATAAACAGTCCATAAGCAGTCTTTTCTCATACTATTGTCAACAGTCCATCAGTTTTAATGATCTATATGCATAGTCTGCTAATTGTCTCGTGAAAGTCTGTGAAATCAGTCAGTAGTCCATGGTCAAACATGTCAACTCTGTAGCCTCAAGTTTGCTGAAGTCCATACATGTAGGGTGGCTGAAGGTAATATCGCTGTAGTGATGGCAGCCATGGAACCAGTCCTGGTGCAGGGTAAGACAGGGAACAACTGTGGCTGTGGCTGGATACTGTAGCAGGAAGGGATACCAAGCTGATCATAGGTGATACGTCTTGGAGGGTGTCTCTCTCTTTGTGGCAGCTGGTAAGCTGGTTCCTCAGGTTCAGCAGCAGCAGTTAATGAAGGAAAGGCACTTAGTGGACGATCATCAGGCACATTTTCAGCAGGCAAGTTAATCTCCTCAGCAGGCAGTTCTTTAACTGTTGTTTTCTCCTCCAGCTGATTTTCAACAAGAGGCTGTGCTGGTAGCGTATCAGGAACTGGCACCGCAACTGTCTGTTTCACTGGTGGGGGCCTGTTTTCCGACTCTCTCGCTGGTTCAGCATACCTCTCAGGTACTGTAGGAGATGTGGGGACCTGTAGCGGCTCATGATGAAGGTCATATTCATCCCCGCTGTCTTCATCAGAATCTAGAGGCTGTGATCCAGGCTGATGTCTCTTTTTCTTACTTTTGTCATCTTTAGTCATTTCTGGTTGTCTCTCAAAAGGTAAGTGGTCACAGGACATGAGCAGGTTTCTGTGCAGGACCCGGGAGCGTCCCCTACCCTTTTCTGGTCTCAACTCATAAATCGGCAGGTCTGAACCCATTTGTCTCACTACTGTGTGAATTTGATCTTCCCAATAGTTACGGAGTTTGCCTGGTCCTCCTCTTGGTGTCAGGTTTTTAATCAGAACTCGCTCGCCAGGCTGTAGCACTGAACTCCTAACTTTAGTGTCATAGTACTTCTTACTTCTTTCAGCAGCTTTCTGAGCATTTTCATTTGCAATGGCGTATGCTTCTTCCATTCCCTCGTTTCCAGTTCTCCACGTAGTCTCGCTGGTTACTGGAACCTGCCTCTGTGCACAATCCAAAGAACATATCAACTGGAAGCCTGGGTGATCTCCCAAACAGAAGATAAAATGGTGAATAGCCAGTCACTTCGCAACGGGTGGCAGTTATAGGCATAAACCAGTTTGTTTAGAGACTCCTTCCAGTT